GTTTATTTATTGAACAGCTTTATAGAAACTGACTTCATTTGCGGCAAAATACAAAAATTGCTTAAGAAAACTGCACTCTTTCACCTTTTAAAAAGCATTTTAATTTTTGTTCAGCACTCTGATCAAAAGATATCGATTTTGTGACATTCAAAATCGCCGGTCGCTTCAAGCGTTGTTTTTGAGAGGCTTATTCTACACAAAAAGTGCTTGTAAACAGTTTTGTTCAAAATTATCTGAGCTACATTTTTTATTTGAAATATCATTTTTTTGCGGCAGATTCTTCTTAAATCGATTTTTTTGCGTTTTTACCCACATACGAAGGAGGGTTTTAGGGGGAAACCATAGGGTTAAAGTGATAAACTCTTTGCAACCTTTTTGGGTTAATTGCAAAATTGATATTTTCGACAAAATTCAGCTTGTTTATATGATTTTTAGGGGTCAACTCTCTTGCGATGGACTAATTATATACTTCTTTTTTATGGTACCGTCTCCTCTAATTGTTGATTTTTTGATCAATAATTGTTGTTGATTTTTTATTTTCTTTAAGTGGATTTCGAATTGTACGATTACTGGATTGTGGTCTGATGATACATCTGTTTCTGGATATGTCTTTGCCGATTTGATGGAGTTACGGTATCTCTTATTGATAAGGATATAATCTATCTGGTTTCTGATAATTTTTTCTTTGCTATCCGCAGGTGATTTCCATGTATATAATCTACGTGGGGGTAGCTGAAAGAATGTATTAGTCGCTATCATTTCAAACTCCTGACAGAATTCTTAGTCTTTCCCTCGTCGTTCCTTTCCTAGTCCGAATTCACAATAATGTCTTGGAATTTACCTTTTCCTAATTTGGCATTAAAATCCCCCATTGTTATTGTTATATCTCTATTATTGGTGCTGTCTAGTGCTTTTTTTAATGTTATTGTAGAACTCTTCTATTTCATTTTCATCTTTGTCTGCACTGGGGGCGTACACCTGTATGATATTAAGAGTTCTATGCGCTGTTTGGGCTGTGATCATTAACACTCTATCCGATATAACACTCTAACCCCGCGATCTAATTGAGAATTGCCTTCCCTGCCGGATCTTGGTATCCGATGTCCATGATCAGTAGTTGTGAAATTGTCGTTTATAATAGCCAGGATAATTGACAAGAGATATCTATTTAAAGATCTTTAATGTAGTGGTGTCTCGTTGCCTTCTACATCCTTCTGTCGTTGACCACTTCTTTGGTTCATCCGCCTTTGAAAGTCGATTTCTCAACTCCAGGACAAAAGAGTGACCTATCACTTACCAACTCATCCGCCCGTAGCCGTCGGTCAGTAAGTGAGAGATTGGTTATACCGACAATCACTCGGTCCCTATCTGCATTGGCCATTATAGATGTTGCCCATCTTCTACCACGTGGAGGTTGCAGAATTGGATTTTTCATTCATTGGGTTTTTTCTAATCCCTCAGAGCTTCAGAAGATTAATTATATACACTCACTAATTATATAATATAATAAAATAGGAGTAAAACTAATTATCGGGAAATGATAGAACAAGGTTTGAACTTGAATTTAGATTCTTGATAAATTTAAAAAGAATGTTTTTTATTTGTGTTTTTGAGCCTTGAAAATCGTTTTTATCAGTTTTAAATTATTTATAACTCGAAAATGATCAAGTTTACAGAAAAACTACAGGAGCCTATTTTGTTTAGAATGATCCAAAAAAATTGTTCGGTCCGAAAAAGTTGATTTAAAAATGAACAAACATGATGCATTAAATGATTGTTGAATTTTCTATTTTGACAAGCAAAAAGCTGGGTTCGTTCGCCATGGATTGTTTTCAGAATCACTTTCATGAGCCACCCCATATTAGGGTCCAAAGGTCGCCCAGGCGAAGATTGATTAAATTAAAAAAAAATCTCATGGAAATTTTTTCTCGAACGAACCCGAACTTTTTTTGGATCATTCTAAAACAAAATAGGTCTCCAGTACAATCATTTCTGTATATGGGAGGCATACTATCCAAGTCCATTTTTTCAGAAAAATACATTATTGCATAACCGGGATCGCAATACCCAATATTATTCAGGGGAATACTACACTAAGTCCAAACTCTTTTAGAAACGGAATTAGACGAGAAACTATGTATACTATGTCCAGTTTGGTTTAGAGGTATATAATCTTATCTGGACTTAAACTTATATTCCTCCAAATGAAATATTATGAACTGGATTCTAAGTCCATTATAGGATCATATGCTTCTCAATGAAATTATATCAAGTATATAATAAAATATACACACACGTGTGCATTTTCGTTGAACTTAATATTTTTAAAACAAACTAAGTTAAATGTATAGTATATTAAGTGCACATCAAGTGGAGACTGTTTACAATATTGGTTTAGTAATTTTATGGTTTACAGGCCGCCCTAATTTATTGTGTTTATGTCTTTTGGAGATTGGATTTAATTGTTACTTAATTTAATAGGTTGTACTAAGCAGTATTTTAACGAAAAATCGTCATTAATGACAGGCAGGCGCATTCTGAAAATAATATTATTTAGTTTTTAACGTACCAGCATAGCAAACAGATAACAGATTTAAAGTCGAAAGCGTGTTATTTTAGAAAAGGTATTTAGTGAGTCTTTTATAGCTTTAAAAATGGCTTTTCGCAAAAGGGGTTTAAGGATATTAGATTTGTCGCTCTCCGACATACCCCATATTACAAAAAGGTAAGTTTTTATCATTAAATTATTATTTTTTTTTCAGTCAGTCGTGAAAAATAAATGTAATATTTACTTCTTTTCTAAATGTTAATAAAAATATCTTTAATAATAATTATTTTATTTAAAGTCTGCTTCCGTTGTAACGAAACTTTCTATTGCAGGTGAAAATAAAGAAACCCTACCACATCACGAACTTAGCGATATATGCGGCCAATGCAGCCATCAAATCGGCTAGTATTGCAGAAAAAAAGCATTCTAAACAAAGTTCAGTGGTAAGTGCCAAAAGTGACAGCGATGACTCAATAAAGGATAAAGATTATCAACCAGATTCGGACACTGATTCAGATGAAAGTGGAAGTAGGTTTCCTGTACCTTTATCGGCATTTCCAGAAGGTGTGCCAAGTACATCTAATGCTATACCAGACTCTTTAACTAATACACTAGAAGATACTATAAATCACAATCGTTTAGTGACCAAAAGAAAAGTCGTCAATAAAACAAAAATAAAGCAGACAGGAAAGAAACGAACACGACATGTTCTTAACTGGAAAGCGAATGAGAGAAAGAGAAACTATGCTGGTGGAAGGGCCTATGTTAGTAAGAAGCGCGTATACGCGCTTAAAAAAAGCAGAAAACAGATATAAATTTAAATCTATTGATATGGCTGAAGCAAAAGTAAATATAAAGCACAAAGTACTGACTGGTGATCTACAAAAGTGCCTTCCAACGCCATATTTGACCAATTGTGTGAATTTTTATAAGCGAAAATTATGAACTTTGAATTACACTTTATACGATGGATATAATAGTGCTGCGTATTGTGTACTGTGGGATAAAACCAAAGCAAACAGAGGAGGAAATGAAATTGCTTCGGGAATTTTAAAGTGGGCTGATCTAAATATTCTCATCTGACGTCGAATGTGTAACCATATGGGCAGATAACTGTTGGGGCCAGACCAAAAACCTATGTGTAGTTATATGTGCATTTTACCTCATTTAAAGATATCCCAAACTACAAGTAATAGATTGTAAATTTCTTCTAAAGGGGCACACGCATATGGAATCCGATTCAGTACACGCTAATATTGAAAGGAAACGGAAAAAACTACCCACTATATGGAACGAATGATTTTAAAAATTTTGAATGCTTATATTCTTCAATAGGTCCATTTATTAATCGGAAAATAAATACTTGTAGAGATGCATTTCAAATTTCAAAATTAGTGATCTTACGTGTTACCAAAGAAAATTTTGGAATGCTTCAATATAAAACTTCATTCAACCGTGACACTTTTCAAATGGTTGACTTAAGACGAAATAAAGAGGTGATACATTTGCAGAAACTTTACCACAAAAGAATATGCAATTGATTCCTATATCAACAAAAAAATATAGTGATCTTATGGACTTACTTTTATACTTCCCATCGTATTGCCATGATTTCTATAAAAATCTGCCACATTCAAACGAAGAATCCGAGTACCCTAAGGATAATGATGACATGTAATTTGAGAACTGTATGTTAATTATAACTAAATAAAATAAATAAAGAAATATTGACGAGTTTTTTTACACAGATACACAATTTATAAGGACTTAGTATATGTATATTATAAATATAAGGAGTCTTATAATTTAGAGGTAATATATCCTAAGTCCATTATTTTATTATCTTTAAACACTTACATTACTTTTATAATACCACAGCAAACTATATATAATACTATTTTTAAATACCGACAATAGTTTCCGCTACAATTATTAATTACTTCTCATTTTTTGAACATACATCAAATATAATGTTTAAGTGCTCCTCCTGTAAAATTATGAAAATGTGACTTAGTATACTATGCTTCCATGTACAGTTTTATGTTCGGTACAAACGACAAATTATAAAAAAAAAAGTGATTTTTCGAAATTTATTAGAATTATTAATAAGGTTGGATGACTGGTGGAAAATACTAATTTTTAAAAATATATTTAATTTGACTAAATATATATTTAATGATTTCTTCAGCAGGGTATTTTATCGTCAGTTTTACGAAATATTCTCAGAGTAACAGAACATTTTACCGAGAAACTGAAGATTCACAGAAAACACTTTTCTAGTCCGCGGTGTAGACTGTTGATTAAAATGAGCGGATATTCTTAAGATGACCCACTAGGTAAGTACCCGGCCAACGATAGCAACGTCTTGTCTTGGGTACCGCTCGAATACGGTGGGTGCCTTCTACCTGTACCCCACTAGGTAGAAGGTGAGGTAAGGACACGCTGAAGCATTGGCAGTATCATAATACTATGAGAGAAACAGAACGCTGCTCGGCCGACGTACATTTTTCAATATAATTTCACTCAGTGATGTGATCTGTTTTCGACTTTTGATTCTTTTTATTTTGAACTGTAATTAGCGGGGTGCGTGACAAGATGACACGTCGGTACTTGGTGGTTTTCTTAGGTTTTGTGTTATTAGTGGCTGTGTCGGACGTTACGACTCAGGAATGTATACAGGGGAGTACAGCTGAAAGTTGTGGTTCATCGCCTACTGACAATGGTGAGATTTCTTTCTATTTTACGTATGAACAGACGTTGTAACGCTCTTTCACATGTCATTAAAGTATGTAGACACACTTGACAAGTCTAGCATGGCAAATAAGACATATTATGTACGTAAACATCTCTATTTGGAGCTGTTTTGTTGACATACAATATAATGCCATCGTGAAAATTGCTCATCTATCAAATGTATACTATGATTTGTATATTAGCCCTTATTTATACATATTTTATACTATTTTAAGGTAGCATATTAAAGCTTTATTAAAAGTTATAATTGTATTAGGTACATCCATATTTGGTGTCTTAATAACAGGGTCTACCAAATTTTTAAAAACATCTGCATCTCACCTTTCTCGTCCCACTTTTAAATACTTTTATATGGAAATAACTTTCTTTAAACATGCTTACATTGAAAACTACATTAATTCTTTATTGTATGTATTACTATCAGGTGTAACCAAAATTACATGACAACTTAGAAGAACGACACAGGTACTTGTGGCATTAATAAAAGTTTAAATTAAAGTTTTTATATTATATAAAAGAAAATTGATGTACAAAAACAGAATTATTTTTCATTCTTCAATGACAAAAATTCTTCGAGTATTATGGTAACAGTTTCACTCCAGTGACTGATCTGTTTAATAATGAGTTTAGAAATAATGAGTTGGAGGGCAACGGACCTGTGAGTCTACGCATTTCATCAATATTGAGTACATTAATGGGGATATAAAGGACCTAACGACCTTTTAAATTTTAGGATGATATTTAGGATAAATTTATTATAGTTTATTTTTTATGTATGAGAGAGTAATAAACAATAAATTATGTATGCAAATCCCTAAACTGTTGATACGGGTGACTCAATGAAAAACATATATTTGTCAACAAGTTTACAGAAGTATATAGGAAAATAATTTTAAATTGAGTATGACCACCAGGTATAAAGGTTGGAGCAGAATAGAATACAATAGTTGTGAGGGTTACTAATCCCTAAATAAGGTTTGCCAGTGTCGGAGTGATGGAGGTTAACAGGTACTAATGAATTTGCAAGAAATGTAAGATGTTTATTTTATTGGTTATATATAACCAATAAAAGTTTAATAAGTACCTACCTATTTGCAAAATAAAGTTTAATTCTTTAGATAAAATAAAACGTTTTATTTTATCTGAAATGAGTGCATTCCACGAAGTAAGGGTTTCAACTAATCAAACATTTAATTCTTTAATTCCAGGAATCTACGACAGTAATTGACTAGATAATTACCTTCTAAACTTATTCCACAGAAAATGTGATAGTGGGTTTTTTCCATTTTGTAGGAAGGTCCAAGTGGCGTATTCAAAATTCTTAACAGTTCACTAAAAGTAGGTACTTCAGTTGCAAGGTGCAGTTTATTGTGTATACTAGTGTTATGGAAAATTTGGAAGTGCCGTGTAAACGCCGAAAAATTGGTCCTTTAACAGTTAATGAAAAAACATTAATATTTAATTGTTTTTAAATCATTTACAGACAAACGTTTATGTGAAAGTGTTGATGAGACCGTTGAGTTAGTTAGCAGTACACTTGGTGTTGGGAAATCTACGATTTACAGAGTTATTAAAGAAGAGAAATGTGGTAGTTTTCAAATGCCACGTAATGCTCCAGGAAACCAAAATTTCAAATAGAATATCATTTTAAAGAAGGACTTCGACGGAAAGTGCATGAATTCTTCTTTAGACAAGAATTTCCAACATTGGATAAAGTTCTTGTCTCAGTTCGAGATGATAAGGATTACCCAGAAATGAGTCGAAGTACGTTATGGAAACTTTTAAAAGAAATAGGCTTCCGCTGGAAAAAGAATCCCAGAAAGTCTATTTTATTAGAAAGAAGCGATATTGTCATATGGAGAAGACATTTTCTAAGAACCATAAAGGAAATGAGAAACCAAAAAAAAAATATTTTATCTTGATGAAACATGGATCAACGAGGTCATACACCAAATAAATTTTGGCAGGATGAAACTGTTACAAGTCAAAGGCACGCTTTTGTAAATAACTTATCTACGGTTTTAAACCCACCATCAGAAAGGGACGCAGGCTGATAATAGTATCACATTGGCAGTTCAGACGTTTTGTTGAAGGTGTTTATTAACTTTTGAATCAACTCGTACCGGTGACTACCATGAAGACATGAACGCTGATGTCTTTCAAGAATGGTTCGAACAAATGATAGATCTTCTTCCTAAGAACTGTGTAATAGTAATGGATAATGCAAGTTATCACTCCAGACTTATAGAAGGACTGCCCACAACCAAGTGGTTAAAAAAAGACTTGCAGAATTGGCTGAGTTCAAAAAATATTACGTACCATCCCGGATCTATAAGAAAGGAACTTTATTCGTTGTGTGCCCTTCATAAAGAAAAATTTAAAAAATACGAAATTGATGAAATTGCCAAAAATCGTGGAATGACAGTACTTAGATCCCCACCATATCATTGTGAATTAAACCCGATTGAACTGGTATGGGCACAGATAAAGAGTGAAGTTTCAAGAAAAAATACCACTTTTAAAATTCATGATGTTAAACAGTTGTTTTTGGAGGCCGTAAATAATGTAAAACCTGAAAACTGGGAAAAGGCAGTAAATCACACTATTAAAGAAGAGGAAAAAATGTGGAAGCTGGACAATATTACTGATAAAATGATCGAGCCAGTTATTATAAATCTTGGTTCTGAAAGTTCATCTTCTGAATCTGATTTGGATTTGTAACAAGTAGCTGTAAGTTTTATATTAATATTTTTATTCATCTATTTAACATACCTTAGACGGTTTTAAAAACTCTTTTTCTCTTTTGTAATTTTTAAAAATTAAAAAAAATGTGAATTTTTTAAAACCCTTTTTAATGTAGGCCAGTCAGTTCTAATATAGTGTGTGATAAAAGAGGTCACTTTGTTTACATACACATAACACTTTATAACACTGAAATAATTCATTTATTTTTTACAATTATTCAAAGTAATTTTTCAATTAATCTTGAGCACGCCCTTGGAGTGGTCGAAGGTACCAGTTAAAATTATGCTAATTACTCCTCGTTCATAAAATAAAAACTATAAGGGAAAAACCTATATTTTGGATGACCATCCAGGGTTAGTACATTTTTCTAAGCTTTTACATTTTGCAAAAACTAACAGTTTTTCTTGGGAAAATAGATTTCCAGGGAAATAAGCAAAATTTAACCGTGTTCAAGACTTTGTAATAACCAGATATTTGACTAATTTTCTTGTTTATATGTACTCCTACCTATATTAAGAAAATATATACGTTTTCTACACAAATGTTGGCATTGTTTTTAAAGTATTGACAATTTGGAGCAAAAAATTCGATTTCTAAAATGTTTTTAAATAAAGTTATTGCTTCAAAGACAGCAATTGTTATTGTTATTGTGTATACCTTTTGTGAAAATGATTTTACATTCTTGTGATTAATACTTAAACTTCGAACTTTATATAGGTAATACACCAGGAACCAGGTATCTTATAGTTTATTTTTATTGAACGAGAGAGTATATTAGCATAATTTTAACTGGACTACTTCCGACCACTCCATGGGCGTGCTCAAGATTAATTGAAAAATTACTTTGAATAATTGTAAAAAATAAATGAATTATTTCAGTGTTATAAAGTGTTATGTGTATGTAAACAAAAGTGACCTCTTTTATCACACACTATATTAGAACTGATTGGCCTACATTAAAAAGGGTTTTAAAAAATTCACATTTTTTTTAATTTTTAAAAATTACAAAAGAGAAAAAGAGTTTTTAAAACCGTCTAAGGTAAGTTAAATAGATAAATAAAAATATTAATATAAAACTTACAGCTACTTGTTACAAATCCAAATCAGATTCAGAAGATGAACTTTCAGAACCAAGATTTATAATACTGGCTCGATCATTTTATCAGTAATATTGTCCAGCTTCCACATTTTTTCCTCTTCTTTAATAGTGGTGATTTACTGCCTTTTCCCAGTTTTCAGGTTTTACATTATTTACGGCCTCCAAAAACAACTGTTTAACATCATGAATTTTAAAAGTGGTATTTTTTCTTGAAACCTCACTCTTTATCTGTGCCATACCAGTTCAATCGGGTTTTAATTCACAATGATATGGTGAGGATCTAAGTACTGTCATTCCACGATTTTTGGCAATTTCATCATTTCGTATTTTTTAAATTTTTCTTTATGAAGGGCACACAAACGAATAAAGTTCCTTTCTTATAGATCCGGGATGGTACGTAATATTTTTTGAACTCAAGCCAAATTCTGCAAGTCTTTTTTTGAACCACTTGGTTGTGGGCAGTCCTTCTATAAGTCTGGAGTGATAACTTACATTATCCATTACTATTACACAGTTCTTAGGAAGAGATCTATCATTGTTCGAACCATTCTTGATAGACATCAGCGTTCATGTCTTCATGGTAGTCACCGGTTACGAGTTGATTCAAAAGTTAATAAACCACCTTCAACAAACCGTTGAACTGCCAATGTGTACTATTATCAGCCTGCGTCCCTTTCCTGATGGTGGGTTAAACCAGTAGATAAGTTATTTACAAAAGCGTGCCTTGGACTTGTAACAGTTTCATCCTGCCAAAATTTATTTAGTGTATGACCCTCGTTGATCCATGTTTCATCAAGATAAAATATTTTCTTTTTTGGTTTCTCATTTCCTTTATGGTTCTTAGAAAATGTCTTCTCCATATGACAATATCGCTTCTTTCTAATAAAATAGACTTTCTGGGATTCTTTTCCAGCGGAAGCCTATTTCTTTTAAAAGTTTCCATAACGTAACTTCGACTCATTACTGGGTAATCCTTATCATCTCGAACTGAGACAAGAACTTTATCCAATGTTGGAAATTCTTGTCTAAAGAAGAATTCATGCACTTTCCGTCGAAGTCCTTCTTTAAAATGATATTCTATTTGAAATTTTGGTTTCCCTGGAGCCTTACGTGGCATTTGAAAA